AAAAAAAAAAAAAGGAATCAGATATTAATTTAGTACACAGATAATTACAAAATTACAAATTGTATCCATGAAAAAAAACTGTCTATTCAAGAGGAATATGGGTGAGATAAATCTAATTTTAATACTCACTAAAGCATTATTTCTGAGTTTGAGGAGAGTTTGAACCTCTGAAATTTAGGCCTAATAGTTTAGGCCGCATTTTCCATATGCATAAACACAGAGAATGCTGACAACCTTCTAAGATTCGGTCAAGCTCATATCTTAGTAGTTAATAATTGTTAAAACCCTGTTGTTGATTAATCCATTTTTTTTTATTTTTGTGTTCTTTATATACATAAAGAATATATATCTCCAGGGGGTGGTGGCGCAGCTGAGCAGTGTTGTAGCACACCTTTAATCCCAGCACTCGGGAGGCAGAGCCAGGTGGATCTCTGTGAGTTAGAGGCTAGCCTGGTCTACAGAGCGAGATCCAGGACAGGCACCAAAACTGCACATAGAAACCCTGTCTAAAAAAAAAAATAGTACTCCCAGACTGTATTTTTTACTGATAAACCTTAATGTTATTGTTAAGTATGGTATAGTTTAATCTTAAACAATTACCAGAGGCCTAGAAGCAATGAAAGCCCTGGAAATGGTTATTTTATATAACAATGTTAAATTTCTAGATTGAAGAACAAATCAGATTGTTTTAGAAACATGTTGTATTAGTATACTAGTCACCAGAATAGATATACTTGTTTTCAAAATGTTGTATATTATCCTTTTCAACTAAAAAGTAAACAGAGAAAGTTTATGTTAACCATAGAAAAGTAGATTATGCTCTAAAGAAAGAAAATCTGTCATAACTCAGTTAAAAGACATTGCCATTGGAAAATATTACAGCAGCAAAGAACCTTAGGAATTTTTTTTAATTCAGGCCTAGAATTCTTGTCCAAGTTACACAGTTAACTATAAAGCCATCTAATTAAATAGTTAATAGCTTAAGTAGGAAAACTGGGCCTGTGAACCCTAATTCTAAGCCATATTACCACATCCAAGCCACCTCATAGATGATCAACATCCCTCCCATAATCCCTTCACAGTCTTGGGTGAAAGGGGACTATTTGTACAGGAGACAGGTTTGTGTGGAAGCCTCAGTTAATAGACATGAACAAC